TTTATTTATTATGTATACAGTGTTCTGCCTGCATGTATGCCTGCAGGCCAGAAGACGGCACCAGATCTCATTACAGATGGTTGTGAGCCACCATATGGTTGCTGGGAATTGAACTCAGGACCTTTGAAAGAAGAGGCAAATGCATTTATGCACTGAGCCATCTCTCCAGCCCCTTAATATTATTAATCATATATTATTATATATTATATAGAAATATATATTTTTTAAAAAAGCCGGGTGTTGGTGGTGCACACCTTTAATCCCAGCACTCTGGGAGGCAGAGGCAGGCGGATCTCTGTGAGTTTGAGGTCAGCGTGGTCTCCAGAGAGAGTGCCAGGATAGGCTCCAAAGCTACACAAAGAAACTCTGTCTCGGAAAAACAAACAAACAAACAAAATTACACACACACACAGCTCCCTATCTGCATGAGTGAGGATGGACTTTATCCACACACCGAAACCAAGGCAATATATTACAAAACACTGGATGCAGAGGTACACAAGAGGACCAAACTACAGAAATCCAGAAGTCATGGATATTGTTTTTAAAGTACCAGTCCTCTAATTTTTGGAAAATATAGTTGTTAAGTTTTTAATTTTTTTAATTGTTGAGAGAGGGTCTCATTTGCTCAGCTGGCCTTTACCTCCTGATATAATATATTGAACTAATATATATCATATGATATATATATTGAACTAATATTATATATATACATACATATATGTATGTATGTATTAAAGGGGATCTATTAGATTGGCTCACAATATGGCCTGGATAGCCCCACAATGGCTGTCTCACACTGGAGAGGCTGAGAATCTGGTGCTGAAGGCCTGGAGGACTTCTGGAGAGCTGCTGACCTTCAGGCTGTTCTGGAATCCCGGAGAAAGAATGCTAACATCAGTGAAGGGATGCCACAGCAACAGAAAGGATGAACTTGCCAGCAGGGATGACAGCAAGCAGACAGAATGCAAAGCTTCCCTCTTCCGTATCCTTTGATCTGTGTGGCCATAGGGTGAACCTTCCCGCTTCAAATAACCTGATCATGAAAATCCCTGGCAGGAGTGCCCAGCAGCTAACAATTGAGTTGATTGGAGATCCAGTGACATCAACAACCAAGAGTAGTCATCACACATGCCAAGGAGAATGAGCCCTAGGCAAAGCAGGGTGGTAGAAACTGATGTCCAATATTTGCCTAAATCATCCAGGAGAAAGGCCAAAGGTGGGAATGCACGTGAAACCTGGCAAGCTATAATCAGAGGACCAGTTAGCCCTGGAGACCCACCATGTGTCCAGGACTTCCCACACTTGCTTATTTCTAAAAGGTGCAGAGGTAAAGGTTCGGGGGAAGGGTGGTTAAGAGACAGTCACAGGACCAGAAGCTCAGCTATACCCTACTTCCAGTGGGTTCTGAAGAGTATGGGCCACACCGTGGGGCCTCTGGACCCTCTTAGGAGGTGACTGTCATAGTGTGATTAGGACATGGCTAGCTCTCTCACCATATCGACATTTACAGTGATGACACTTAAAGCAATGGAGGTAAGTGCTGGACTCGCCCAGCAATGCAGGCCAGGCTCCAAACCACAGCCTGTTCACTGCTACTCACTCATGCACTCAGGGAAACAACTCAGGGTTCTCTTAGGAGTGAAGTGATGAAATGGCAAAGTGGTTAATTTTATCATCATTTGACCTCTGAGGACTCTTTGACAATTTGCAAGAGGACAGGCTGTGTGCCAGAAATACTTCTGCAGAACAAGCCATTCTCAGGCTGCCCTCGGTATATCAGGTGGTTGTGTGGTGTCGGGAGCCCGCCCAATTCACCACTGCCTCTCACCACCCATGGCTTGCCCTTAGAAGAACAATGCACAAACTCTTTGTTCAAACTTGGGGACTTGCAGTTATTTTCTGGGAAATTAAGGGAGTGAGTGAGCCTGTCACCTTAAGGCAAGCATCTTTAGAGTTTGTTGCCAAAGATAAAACCTGAGCTTTTGAAGCAAAGCTGGATTTTTTTTTTGGGGGGGGGGGGGGTGGTTTCGAGACAGACAGGGTTTGTAGCTTTGGAGCCTATCCTGGCACTCGCGCTGAAGACCAGGCTGGCTTCTGCCTCCCGAGTGCTGGGATTAAAGGCGTGCACCACCAACACCTGGCGGAAAGCTGGAATTTTAGAAAACTTGTATCCATTACCATGAGCATAACTGTACCATACTACAAACCTGGAGAGCACACACATTCAAAGGATGGATGCAGGTGTCTCTCAAGAGGCAGACATTTACTCAGCACAACTTGTTTTTCTGCTCTTTGCTCCCAATTTTATATTATTACTTTTTTTTGGGGGGGGGGGAGAATCGAGACAGGGTTTCTCTGTAGCTTTGGAGGCTGTCATGGAACTAGCACTTGTAGACCAGGCTGGTCTCAAACTCACAGAGACCCTTCTTCCTCTGCCTCCTGAGTGCTGGGATTAAAGGTGTGCACCACCACCACCCGGCTATATTATTACTTTTTAAGAAGCTATCATTTTCTGGTCATAGCAATAAAGGAAAGGTACAAAGACATACTTAGCTTTTCCAGCTCCCTATATGCGTGAGGCTGAACTTTATCCACACACCTCAACCGAGGCAATATATTGCAAAACACGGGATGCAAAGGTAGATAAGAGAATCAAGCTACAGAAATCCGGAGGTCATGGATATTTGACTCTGGGTTTTTAATTACCTAGACCAATTAAGAACTCCATTTACACAAAAACACATGTATCCTTTCAATAGAGACAGGGCACCAGGCAGTGGTGCCGAACGCCTTTAATCCCAGCACGCAGAAGGCAGAGGCAGGCAGATCTCTGTGAGTTCAAGGCCAGCCTGGCCTACAAAGTGAGTTCATTTGAGTTCCAGGACAGGCTCAAAAGTACGCTGAGAAACCCTATCTCAGAAAGAGAGAGAGAGAGAGAGAGAGAGAGAGAGAGAGAGAGAGCAAGAGAACGAGAGATAGGGCAAATTGTAGCATAGTCATAAAGTGGGTGATTATACAGCTAGTAACATCAAGCTACATTTGTATCAATTTATACCCTGAGATATGTATCTCAGCTTGGATAGATCTCAAAAACACTCTTGGAAGAAAAAGAAACTGCCAAAAAAATCCTTATAAGATGAGGTCACTGACTTCTATCTGGGAAAAACACACCATATAATGTGTATTCATACATAAACATACATATTTGTAGTCACATGGCTCCTGGCACAAACCTTTGGAAGGATGTTCACCAAATTTACCATCTTGTCTGCCTTTGTTGAAGAAAAAAAGAGAGAGAGAGAGAGAGACAAAACTGAAGAGAGGGGAAAGTAGACATGTTCAGCTTATCTGGAAGATTAATTTCTCTTCCCAGCTCCTGGCTAGAAAGCAAGCTAGCTGTAGGTCCATCTCCTCAAAGCTCTGTAGACTATGTTGATGGCCTGCCAGAGGCCTATGCTAGCTATCCTTATTCTGGAAGGACATCTGGTCTCTGTGTGAGCTTCCTCCCTATGAACAGTGCCAGGTTCAGTCACTGCCAGGGTACCCGAGACACAAAACAAAGAATCAACACATGCTACCAAATGGGTGAACCACACACACACACACACACACAAGCTTTCCAAAGAAACCAGACCCAGAACATCACATATTGATAACTATTTATATAGGATATCCAGGAAAAAATTTACCTTTTTTTCCTGGATATCCAGGAAAAATTTACACTGTGTAAAAATTTACACTGATCTGTTACCATGAAACAGATCAGTGGTTGCCTGGGGGCAGGAATGGGAAGTAGATCTCAAATAACCAAGTTCATTATCTCTTTAGAAGGTAACAGAAAGTGGCACCATGTTAATGGATGCACAGTTGGCAAAAACCAAAAGCTTAGTTTCTGTAAATACACTAAAAACTACTCAATTATGTAATACATTTGGCTCTTTTCTCTTTTCATGTGTGGTGTGCATAGGTGCACTATGGTGTGCATGCCTGTGGAGGTCCAAGGCTGATGTAGAGAACCCTTTGGTCATCCTTACATGTAATTCACTATAGTTGTGCTACCTGGCTTGCTCCAGGCAACCCCATCTGCATCTAACCAAGCTAGAATCACAGGCCATCTGCTGCACTCACATTTCCGGGATTCTGGGGATCTGAGCTCCAGTCTTCACGCTTGCATGCTGAGCACTTTAGCCAGTGAGCCATCCCCCCAGCCCAGAATTGTAGAATACATTTTAAAATGGGTATCTTGGGGCCAACAAGATGGCTCAGCAGCTGAAGATGCCTTCCGTCAAACCTCAGTTGGATCTTCTGATCCATGAGGTAGGAGTTGAGAACAGACTCCCCCATGTGGTCCTGACTGTCACTTGCACACTGTGACACACACACACACACACACACACACACACACACACACCACAAATAATTAATTATTAATGTAATTTTAAGAATAGTAAAAAGGGCACTAGGCAGTTGTGGGGCACACCTTTAGTCCCAGCACTTGGGAGGCGGAGGCAGTCAGATCTCTGTGAACTCAGGGCCAGCCTGGTCTACATAGCAAGCTCCAGGCCTGTCTCAAAGAAAGAAAGCAAGAAACAGAGAGAGAGAGAGAGAGAGAGAGAGACAGAGAGAGAGAGAGAGAGAGAGAGAGAGAGAGAGAGAGAGAGAGAAGAAGGACTCCCCAAGAAAAACTCCAGAACACACACATTAAAGTGGTAACACTTAGAGATTACAAAATTACAAATTACAAAATAGGATTAAAAAAATAAAAGGGCAGAAGGTGCAAAAATGTCAACACTGGTTGGGCGGTGGTGGCTCAGGCCTTTAATCTCAGCACACAGGAGGCAGAGGCAGGTGGATCTTTGTGAGTTCAAGGCCAGCCTGGTCAACAGATTTCCAGGACAAACCCTGTCTCGAAAAACAAAAAATAAAAGTCAACATTCGTCTCGGTGTTAGTCAACATTTCAGGGGCCCTAGGGCAGCTCTCAGAGGGTCCAAGTCAATACTCTAGCATCCTGATACTTAATGTCTTCCCTTCCCCTCCCTGCATTCAGACAGTACAAATTATGCCTGCATCATGGGGGGGAACCTCCTTCACAAGGGCTGCAAGTTGTTTTTTTTTTTCTTTTTTCAAAGATGGATGCTGTAGTGGTGCTGGATCATTTTTCAAGCAGGCTTGAAACACTGGGTTCGATCCCCAGCACCATCAAAAACTAAGTCAGACGTTCTGAAGACAGGTGATACATCTTTATTAAAACTTTATAAAAGACAACGGATGACAATTGTGTTTCATGCAGTCTCCCCACCCCCATCCCCGCTCAGAACTAAAGGGTTCTCTAAGCAGGATCAGAAATTCTCAAAAATCTTTTTTCTTTGAAAAGATACTAAAACACTCGATGACAAGGTGGAAGGCGCCCGTGGGTCAGGAGGGCATTTGAGGCAGTTATCGGTTTCTCCGGGGGTTTTGA